GCCATGTTCCAGAAGCATTCTCTCCTGACGTTTCACCCACATCTATGCCAGGCATTCTCAGAGGTTGTGAGGTCTGATGGAAACTAGGCAAGCGAGGTTTATAATCTGGAATGTCCGGAGTGGGAGAAAGAACTCTTATCTGCTGGAGGCAAGTGTGAATGTTGCAGTTTGTCACCTTGATTAACATTTAATGGCCTTGCAGCTTCAGGACATTAAATTAAGAACAACACTAAAAAAACAGGGGAATTGCAGACAGGAAACAATCAGGGCCAGTTAACACCTCCCAAGAAATTATTCCCCCAGGCAGGAAGCAGCCAGGCTTTGAAGCTGCAAGGGTGTTAAATGCTAATCAAGATGGACAGCTGCAACATTCACAAACAAGAGTTCTTTCTCCCACCCTGGACATTCCACAGATATGTAAACATCAGTTACCTAGTTTCCAACAGACCTCTTAACCTTGAGAATGCCTGCTATAGATGTGGGCGAAATTTCAGGAGAAAATGCTTCTGGAACATGGCCATACAGCCTGGAAAATGCGCAGCAACCCAGTGATTCTGGCCATGAAAGCTAACAACATATTTCTGATACTTCTTGCACTGTATTACAGAACTACCTTAGCAGTTACAGGCAAGTTGTTGAGATTGTTCGCCATCCCACAATCCTTCCCTACAAATTCTGCGTGGGAATGTCTTAGGCTGGATTTTGTATGATAATTTGTGTGTGCGTAATCTGGAACTGTCTGCACATGTGCCCTTTTATGTTCATTGATCAAGGTGTCCAATCTTACCTTATTCATTTACTCTCTATCTTTTACATGTGATGTGTTTAAACTGTTGTAGTTTGAAAACTTAATAAAAAATATGCGAAAAAAGAGGTGACCAATCCTTGACATTTTCCCCCCAGCAATCCTGCTCCAAAGGCCAGTCATGTCCTCCTTTATCTATTTAGTGGCTGGAGGTTTTTCTTTCTCTCTCTCATACTATAGAAAACTTATTTCACTTGCTTTCCTTGTGAAGTTGTTTCAAAGAATCTCACCGTCCAGTGACCTCTTTTCTTTTTCTTCCTTTTTTGCAGCCGTGTCCTTATTTCTACAGATGTTTGGGCCAGAGGCTTGGACGTACCTCAGGTTTCCCTAATCATTAACTATGATTTGCCTAACAACAGAGAATTGTATATACACAGGTAAGTACCGTAGATATTTGAGTATAAGCCTACTTTTTCAGCCCCCTTTTTAGGCTGAAAAAGCCCCATTCGACTTATACTCAAGTCAAAATTATGTATTATTTTACTGTTATTATTTTTATTACATTTATTATTTTACTCTATTATTATTATTACATTTATATAATATTTATTATTTATTTTACTTTATTATTACGTTAATTATTTTACTCTATTTACTATTATTATTTATATTATTTTACTCTTATTTTTATTATTTTACTCTGCTATTACATTATTTTACTCTATTTTTGCTGTTACTACTCTATTATTTTTTACATTTATTATTTTACTCTATTATTATTGGAAGGATACGTAAGCATTTACATTGAAGAAAGTTGGAATAATGGTTTAATCAGTTTGACAGCCTTATCTTAAATTACAGTTTTATGTAAATATTCAAAAACATTTAACCTATTGATGCCTTGATTAATGTAATTTTATTGCTATCGATTTTATTTTGAAATTTACCAGTAGCTGCTGCATTTCCCACCGCCGGCTTATATTCGAGTCAATACTCGTCTTGGCTTATATTGGGGTCGGCTTATGCTCAAATATATAGCGTACCTGGTTGTTTCCCCTCCCAAGGTTGAAGTTGGAGAATGGAAATGTTTCTGGACACTTTTGGAGATTATCTCAGAGAAATGGCTCCTAAATCAAATGCCGAAAAGCTTCGTGTCGTTACGTGACTAATGCTCAAGTATATAGTGTAATGCAGCTCTTACTTTGTGGTTTGTCTGTTTTCATGGCATTGAATGTTTGCCACTTTTGATGGAAACCGCCCTGAGGTAGGGCAGGTTACACGTAAAGTCTTATTATTATTCAGAAGAATGTTATGTTGTTGTATTCAAAGTATGGCTGGGTATGATTGGAGTTGCAAACCAAGAATATCTGGAATGTTCTATCTTGCTGCCTTGAACAGATTCGCGATGTCATGATTGGTGCTTGTGTACACTTCATCCTAAATACGCTATTTTCCCACCAGGATTGGTAGATCAGGCCGCTATGGCCGAAAAGGTGTCGCCATCAACTTTGTGAAGAACGACGACATTCGTATTTTGCGAGACATTGAACAGTACTATTCCACCCAAATTGATGAAATGCCCATGAATGGTGAGTATCACAATGCCCGTCTTGTTCACACAGGGTAGCTAAGAATTCTGCAGAAAAGAAGTGAATGCATTTGAATATATTTGCTCTATAGCAGGCATGGGCAAACCTGGACCCTCTAGGTGTTTTGGACGCCAACTCCCACCATTCCTAACAGCCTCAGGCCCCTTCCTTTTTCCCCTCAGCCGCTTAAGCGGCTGAGGGGAAAAAGGAAAGGGCCTGAGGCTGTTAGGAATGGTGGGAGTTGGCGTCCAAAACACCCAAGAGGGTCCAGGTTTGCCCATGCCTAGCGTTTCTATTGGACATACAAGCTGGACAGCAAAAAAGTATTAAGTAATTTCTTTCTTCATTCTTAGTCAGTAAGCACTATCAAGCATCTTACACAGTATTGTTATATTTAGACATAAGAAGTGCTGCCTATATATCATTGAATAACTATTTCTCATATTTTTTAAATTTCAATCTAGTTGCTGATCTTATTTGAAGAAACAAGATGGACTGAAGAGAAAGTGCATCCTCCTCCCTATGATTTATTACACAGCAGCGACCAGTTTTGTTTTAATTCTGAATTTTTACTGATACTTGTCTTTTAAGAACTCCCAAATGTATAGATGTGCATCTCTTCAGTGTCAACTGCCGAGTTTTGAACAAAACGTTCACTGAAGGATCCGTTCATGGAAACTAATTATGGGAGCAGCTAAAAGTACCTGGCGGGGGGTGATAAAAAGAACGGTCTCATTGTGGAATTATCTCAACGTAGAGAATTGTTGTTTTATTTTGATTTTTTTATGTTGTGTGACAGGAGCTGTAAAGTAGCATCTCTGTAAATAAGGTGTTGTCAATCCAACTTGCCACTCCTTTCCCCTCCAATTTAAACAATAAAATTTTCATATAAATTTTGCATCTATTCTATGTCTATTTCAAAACAAATATATATTTCAAAACAAGCACTTCTTGGCATATGCAAGCTGGATTTTCTGGTCTCTTCTCATTTGCCAAGTGAATCATCATTGGGGTTAAGGGCATTCATATCTAGTGCCATACTTCTCATTTAGATGAGAGACAGGGAAGGAGCCCCTTTCAATTGTTTCCTGGAGCCCCCAGTGGCACAATGGATTAAACCCTTGTGCTGACAGGACTGCTGACCAAAAGGTTAGCAGTTTGAATCCAGGGAGCAAGGTGAGCTTCCATCTGTCAGCTCCAGCTTCTCATGCAGGAACATAAGAGAAGTCTCCCACAGGATGGTAAAACACCCAGGCATACCCTGGGTAACATCCTTGCAGATGGCAAATTCTCATTCCAGAAGCGACTTGCAGTTTCTTAAATTGCTCCTGACATGAAAAAAAAAAAAACTTTTGTGAAAGTACTGTATGTTGAATTAAAGTGGTTCTCAACCTGTGGGTTTTGGCCTTCAACTCCCAAAAATCCCAATAGCTGGTAAACTGACTGGGGTGTCTGGGAGTTGAAGGCCAAAACACCTGGGGACCCACGGGTTGAGAACCTCTGAATTACAATCTTAAGAAAACTAAATCACTTGTCTGTAAAGTTTGAAAGGAAACTGGTACTTGCGCCTATATAAGAACTTAAGTGGCTGAGGAGGGAAAGGAAGGGGCTTGAGGCTGTTAGAAATTGGGAGAGTCCAAAACACTTGGAGGGCCCAAGTTCGCCCTGGTCTAGTCTACAGCAACCCCATCCCCAAAAGTCACATATTAGTGGTCTAACTAGCATAAACACATTCACACACCTTTTGAAGGTACAGGGTGAGGCAGCATAACTTCCTTTTTTCAAAACTTAATAAAACCCATTGTATGAATCAGAATTTTTTATTTTATAATGTAGGTGCATACCTAAAGTTTTGTTTCATGTAGTTGTGAAGATCAAATTAGGTAGGTGACGTCCCTTATTCTCCATACACCGAGTAAACCGATTTCTGGTGTTTGTCATGACTTACCAGTATAGCAGGTGTTATATTGGCAATTTATATTTATATTTCTTCCTGGATGTTGGTCTTCAAATCTTGTAGGGTCCTTGGACGGTTCACATAAACACGGGATTTCAAAAAACCCCATAGAAAAAATATCACAAATCTGGAAAGTGGCCCGGCCACTCCAAATCYGCTCGAAAAGTAGGCCTCAATGGCAAAAGCACGCTCCTCACTGTTCCAACGCATGATGGTGACTGAACTGTGTCAGGACAAAACTTTATACCCCCAYCTCTCGAACGAGACCACTAGCACTCTGCTACGTCTTCAACCGACTGAATGGCGCGCATTTTAAAAAAGGAAGTTATGCTGCCTCACCTTGTATATTCACACCTCCTTTTTCAAAGACATATGGATTTACTTCTGTTGTAGATGTCCTTCCACCAGTGCTACAACCAGAACTATTTCTGTTACTTCCATTTCCAAAATGATAGTAAGGAGGCGAATAGAGCTGCTATATTAACCGCAGAAGTTCACTACCTCCTGCAGAAGAATGTTATTAGTTCAGCAGTACCTTAGTGTATTTAACTGGTTTCCAAGGAATTTCCCTTGAAGGCTCAGTGATGATGAAGCACAGAACAGTCTTCAGCATTAACAGCATCGTGCCTTGCAAAGAAAAATAAGCGACGCATTTCCAAGTCTCATAATCACAAACCGCTATGGTTCATACAGTAAATCCCATCAGCAGTTATGAATAAAAATCATGAGTTTAATTTCATATATACACAATTGATTTTAATAATGTACCGGAAAATAAATTACAGGAAATAACTTTAAAATGCAACTGAAGACAAAGTTTCACAACAAACATTCCCACTGATTTCCCATGGGGCGAGATTGCAGTGCTCAAGGCAGGTAAATATCACAAATATATCAAAAAACTCCAAATTGTTTCGATGCATTCACACATTTACATGAGCCACAAACATTCCTTTACAGGGACCGTACTGAGCCTATCACAGAACCAGGTTTTGCCATAAACTACAAAACTTTTTGATACAAAATCGTATTTATATATTTATATTTTATACATGCCCTGTGGTTTCTTTAAAAAATAACTACACACACTGTACAGACAATCCTAACTCATTGCTTTTGTAGCTGTAGGCAACGGTCTTTGTTTTTGGATGGATCTTCTCCCCCCAGTTAAGATTAATGGCATATTATATATACATAAAGGCTAAACCTGCAGAGAAAAGAGCGGTTCTTTCTTGATATGCATATCCTTGTAGGACAAAGTCTCCAGATTTTTAAAAAGGCAAGACAATGTACACTTGAAGATAGCTTCCTTAATTACAGCTGTTACCTCTAAATGTAATTTGTGGTGAACGATAGACATGCATTTGGGTAATACTGGCAGAAAAGGCAGTAAAGCAAGGAAGAGCGTCAATGTGGTGGCTCAAACATGACTTCGCAGCCGACTGCTACTGTCGATAGGTCGACCGGATTCATGTCAATGGTATTCAGAGATAGGGACGTAAGTGTGGCTACATACATTCTGTTAAAAAGATGTCCTTGTATAGGATTGGTAAGTACTTCCCTGAAAACCCTTTACAGTGGATATGTTTTGATAAGACAAGAGGTCGCACCATCTCCCCTCTGGGCACAAAGAGTGCCAGAACCGTCACAAAGAGCCCCCTTTCCCTGTCTCCATGGCACCAAACTGCATCAAGGAGCAAGCCTTGCGAGCAGTATACTTATTTTCCTGAGCCCACCCATCCCCTCCCTCCCCACACATTGTCCTCCCCCAATACAATGGCAGCAAGTTAGAAGCCAGTCAAGATTAAACTACTTCTCTACAGTCAAATGTAAACTTTGGTTTATTGAGTTCTCATTGTACAGCAAGCGAGTCTACAAATGGGCGGGCAGGCAGGCGAGAGGAGGAGGAGGAGGCGAACTGTCAGTCTGTCTTTAGCCTGGCATGCTGAGACATCTGTTCAGTCAGGCCTGCTTTGATAGAGTTTGTAACCGATTGTCTCATGGTATCCTCAATCAAATTATCCCCAAGAGGTTTGATCACCTGCAGCACGAAACATGCACAAAACAAAGGAATGAGGAAAATGGCAACAACTCAAAAAGGTTGGAAACAATACAAAAAGGAGAAATCATAAAAAAAACTAATGGAAATCATGAAAGATGAAATGGATCAAAAGTGCATCAGCATGGAGAAAAAAAAAAGATGATTCTGTCTACCGGAATAGTTATTAATTTACAGAGTATTCAGTGCTTTCCTCCAACACAGTATTTGACTGAACTCAAATCCTAGAAGACTGGATGTCGTATTTGCTGTATCAAACCTCGGATGTCTCTAGAGCATTTAAACAACATGGCCCAGAAGGTCTTGCTGACTGTCTATACATGTTAAGTGTGAACGTTTCGGGTAAAGAAAGGAAAAGGTAAAAATACTGGCTAATTTTTCTTCTTGTTATTGTTGGATGGGAGCCGCTGCCGTTGCACTGAGGTATGCGCGCGGCGAACCATTCGGCGTCTAAGAACTTCAAAGAATTTGGAACACACCTAAAACATGAAGTAAGTTGTTAGAAAAGCAGTTGGCAAAAAGCAGGGGCGAAAAATAGCCGGGATTTTAAGATAGTCCCCATCGATATTCTCACCTTCTTGGGACTCCTCTGAAGCAGAAAAGGGAAGAATAGACAGGAAGATTTAAAGAAGGTCAGTAGCAAAGCAAGAAGGAGGTTAGGACCTGGACAAAAGTATTTCTAACAAGTGGGTTAGGATCTGGACAAGAGCATTTCTAACAAGGAGATTAGGACCTGGACAAGAGCATTAGTTGTTTTGTTTTTATTTTGAAATTTAATTTTATTTGATTAGTACAATGCTGTTATTATTCTGTATTATGTTTATTGCTGTAATGTTATGGTATATGCCGGGCATTATTATTATTTGCCTTTGTATGTGTAAACCACCCTGAGTCTCCTGGGGAAGATAGGGCCGTCTAAAAATAAAGTTTGTTGTTGTTCTTATTATTATTTGAAACACAACAAGATTAGTACACAGCAAACAAGATCACTTTGCAGGCTGTTGTATTGGATCACACGTTGGACACTTTCCAAGTGTCTAGGACTGTGTGATGTATCGGTGAATAATGTGTGTAGATCTGAGTAGGGTGGCCTTTTGCAGCTGACAGATGGTAATTTTGTCAGTGCCGATTGTGTTTAAGTGCAGGCCGAGGTTTTTCGGCACTGCACTCAGTGTGCCGATCAACACTAGGACCACCTTTACTGGCTTGTGCCAAAGGTTTTGCAGTTCGATCTTTAAATCCTCATATTGAATTATTGTTGTTGTTATTACTGTTATTATTATTTGCTTTTGTCTGCAATTGTGCAGCAATGCTTTTCTGTACAGTACAAAATGTTCCTGGCAGCCAAATTCCAGACAGCCAGAAGGGGGCAGCCTAAGAATATTCTTTTAGTTGCACAGTGTGAGCCAACAGAGATATAAAAACTTCCACTTTGAGATCATTGAGTAAGATGCCTTTGCTTCCCTTAGTATCACCACATACACCCTGACTCAATCAAAAAATATGGAACCACTAACACGTTGGTTGACTACTGGCATGAACTGTATAGACTAGAGGCATAAAACACATTTTCACTGAAGGCCACATCAGCTCTATGGCTGCTTTCAGAGGGCTGTTTATAATTGTAAGACTACATAAATGTACCGAAGTCCCACAGGGACATAAAATGACACAGTGGCCTGGATTTAGCCAGTGGATCTATCTCAGGCATGGGCAACCTTGGGCCTTCCAGGTGTTTTGGTGTTAGGAATTGTGTGAGTTGAAGTCCAAAACACTTGGAGGGCCCCAGTTTGCCCATGCCTACTCTATATTAAAGCTGAAGTTCAATAGCATAAGCATAATTAAACACACAGAATTGCAGAAGAGCTTTATCTGCTTGTTAATGAATTATTTCAGCACCTCGAAAAGGGAATGCTGCAGTTTGAAATGTTTTCTATCTCATTTTATTCAACTAGACTTTTTACGTAAACATTTGACCAAAATAGGTTCCCTCAGTGCAGGTTAGACCGCTGAGCTGCTAAACTTGCTGACCAGAAGGTCGACAGTTCAAATCTGGGGAGCAGGGTGAGCTCCCGCTTTTAGCCCCAGCTTTTGCCAACCTAGCAGTTCGAAAACATGCAAATGTGAGTAGATCAATAGGAACCGCTTCGTAGGGAAGGTAATGATGCTCCATGCAGTCATGCTGGCCACATGACCTAGAAGGTGTCTATGGACAACGCTGGCTCTTTGGCTTAGAAATGGAGATGAGCACCACTCCCCAGAATTGGACACAACTAGACTTAATGTCAAGGGGAAATCGAACCTTGACCAAAGAATAAGGAAGTCCTGTTTGAACTGCAAGTGCCCTTTGGTATGTGTCAACTAAGTAGCCACTGACTCCCTGGCTATTCCGCTCCATAATGGGAGCTTCTATTAAAAAATCTCTGACACAGTGCACAGGGTTGAGTTTTCTAGGATTAATGCTTCATATCATTTCAACTGGAGATCTTCAACCAACATCGTTATGAACTGATGGGATTAGCTACAGAATTCCTGTGATCAGAAATGTGCTTACACAATGCTCTTGTGCCAGAAGGAGAAGAGTTCTTTTTCCTCATTTGCCTTGTTCTTTATGCAAAGACCTTCTGCATTCTGCCAATCATAAACAGACTATGCTAAATAAATGCAATCGTTCAACAGGTGCTTGTGCCAATCATCTTTCAATTCAGTATCATGAATAACACCATAACGTTTATGATTAAGACTTGGAACAGAAAAGCCTTTCCATCTTACTTACCTTTGGAAACATTAACACCAAACCTCTACTATATTACTGGATATTTCTGACTCATGAGTTTTCAAAATCTGGTATAGGATTAAGCACTGAGACACTTGAAGATGTCCTGGATTATTGACTTGAGCAGCTATATTCACAGGTTTGGACTTCTGTAGTTCTCGTTCCATTCATACCAACTATGTACCCCAAAAGATAAGCTGGCAAGTTTCCTCAAAAATGTAAACTCTCTTAGAGAAGGAGATACCAACCTGTTCCCATAGTACTTCAGCCATCTGATCAATGAGTGTTCCAACTTCTCTGAATTCCCCAGAGTATTTAACATATGCCCAAGTACAAAGGGAGACCAGCGCTAACCCCATCAGGAGGTTGCACAGGGTGGCTATGGAGTTCATGCCCAGGAAGCCGGTCAGTCCTGAGATTATATACATGGCAAACATGACGGCAAAAAGAGTGGCAGGAGTACGGGCAGCATAGAAGATGTTTTTGCCGTCGTTGTGCTTCACAAAGTTTGCATAGACTTCATCTAGCTCCTCTTCAAGTTGGTCTTGGTACCGGCGACAGAACTCTTCGCCTCCCATCTTCTTCACTGAACGGAACTGCTTTATAGCCAGTCCTTTCAGGTCGTGATGCTTGTGCTCCAAGTCTGCGGGAGCAATGTAAGGCTTATCTCCACCACAAACCTGTAAAGACAAAGCAGAATTGACACAATGGCTTATGGAAGTGAATGAGTAAAGGTCGAACTGCTACAGGTGTCAGGCAGCACTAAAAGAAGCCAGCACAGTACTAGCTAGCACTAGGAGGTCAAAGTTCAAATCTTCACAATCACCAAAAAATACTTATCAGCCTTAAGTCAGTTATTACCTCTCAATCTAAGGGTGCATTATTATTATTATTATTATTATTATTATTATTATTATTATTATTATTATTATTATTTATACCCCGCTTTACCTCCCCAAAGGGAACTCAAAAGCGGTTTGACACTGAAACATTAGCATATAATTTAAAATACATAAAAATAAAACAGCACTAAAAATATCAGTTAAAAACCATCAATTAATGGAATTAATGCAGTTTGGCACCACATTAATTGCTGTGACTCGATCCTATGGAATCCCAGTAATTGTAGTTTGATGTGACATCAGCAAACTTTTTATCAAACTTCAATTCCCGTGATTCAACAGCATTGAGCCATAGCAATAAAGTGTTTCAAACTGCATTGATTCTACAGTGTAGATGAAACCTAGAGTTGTAGTGATAAAATTGAAGTCAGAGACTTAGAATCCATTCCTTGTGCAATAAATGTGCAATAAATTAAAATAAAACTCAAATACCATATATACTCAAGTATAAGCCAAGTTTTTCAGCCCTTTTTAAGGCTGAAAAAGCCTCCCTTGGCTTATACTTGAGATGAGATTATTTATCATTTTACTCTGTTGTTGTTGTTATTATTATTACATTTATGATTTTACTCTTATTTATTATAGTTCCATTATTTTACTCTACTATTACTATTATTTTATTACAGTTATTATTTTACACTATTATTATTGTTATTTTTACATTTCCATTATTTTACTCTATTATTATTTTTATTACATTTCTTATATTACTCTATTATTATTGGAAGGATACGTAAGCACATTTACATTGAAGGAGGTTAGAATAATGGTTTAATCAGAGTTGGATAGTCTTATCTTAAATTACACTTTTATGTAAATATTCAAAAACAATCTACTGGGTTGTTGTAGATTTTTCCGGGCTATATGGCCATGTTCTAGAGGCATTTTCTCCTGACGTTTCACCTGCATCTATGGCATTTAATCTCCTGATGCCTCAATTAATGTAATTTTATTGGTATGTATTTTTATTTTGAAATTTGCCAGTAACTGCTGTATTTCCCACCCACGGCTTATACTCGAGTCAATATGTTTTCCCAGTTTTTTGTGGTAAAATTAGGCGCCTTGGCTTACATTCGGGTCCGCTTATACTCAAGTATATATGGTAAGTTCCATTTACCATGCCTTAAAATGGCAAATCTGCTTCCAGAAAGAAAACTGCTTGCAGCTAAATCTGATGGGCATATGTGGAGCAAGGGCAACCAAAGGGCACGTGTTCATTTCATATCACCTTTATATTTAGCACCGATATAGTTAGTCAAGGTCCCTTTAGCCTGTTAGCTAAGTAATTTATCTTAGGCATGCAGCAGATATAATCATTAACAATAAGTGGTAGGTCAGCTGCAGAAGCACACGCTTTCCTATCAGCCCTCACCCCGATAGATGTATTCACCCATCTTCCCCTTCCTTGGCTATTTTTAACTATGACTAATTTTGTATTCATCACCATTATTCAAAATGTAGGCAATTTAAGAGGAAAGAATCGGGTTTTCAATCAAACCTGAATGGTATTCATACAATTAAAATTTTGGATGTCCAAAAAATTCTGATGGTTTCATTCTAACACCAAGTTAAAGCTTGAGTTTTTAAATTAAAGTTTGATTTTGACCAAATTATAATCTTTTAATTATGAAGTTGCATAATATCATTTAGATTGTTCTTTTTTTACTTTAAGTTTAATATCATTTAAATTGAGTTTATTGCGAACCACCCAGAGAATTTGTAAGTTGGGATCTCACGCATACATTATGTTCCCCTATAGAAACAGTTGGACATCTTTGTCTGATGAGGAATGGCCATATTCAATTCAAAGCAGAGTTGTGCAAGCTGTACCACTGTACACAGCACATTTGGTTCCAAATCCAATTGCACAATGTTACAATTCAATAACAAAAGCAATGTCACAAAAGAGTCACATAACTTGAGCATAAAGCTATGTTCTTGAAGTAGGATCTTGCTTACATAGTAGGATACAGATATTTTAATACAATAGCTGCTATACCTGCTCCATTCCTTTGTTGTAGGCATCCTTTGCTCCAGCTACTGCGGCAAGGTTGTTGGCTTCTGCTGTTGCCTTAAATAAAGGAAAACACATCAAACCTTGAAATTTTAAAAGAACATGAACTTGGTAGAAACTTTCCAGCACCACACAGGAAAACTGATAAATGTACCTTCACATTTCCGTACTAAAACCTTCCATAATTAACTGCAATTTCAATCAAGCCATGCTAATTTGGGAGGGGGGAGATTCCTATCCTAATGGTATGCTTATAAATAATTTTATGGGCAAAGCTTTGTTTCAGAACTCTTTAAAGCAAACTTTTCCAACCTGGTATCTGCAAGAGTGTTAAAACTACAATTCCAGGTCAGTGAAGACAAACATCAGGCTTATGGGATCTATTTTTCAACTGAACTATAAGCTCCATCAACTGCAGCCCTGTAAACTTCCATCAAACATGTATCAGAGATGGTCCACCATATATAGCTGAAGATGTTCTGAGCTAATATAAATTAAAGTTCTCAAGCACAACTAATCCTATTGTTTATTGCAGCCCCTTTTGCAATTTTAAAAAAAGGTAACTTTTGTTTCTTATACAATCTTATACTAATCTAATCTAGGGTCTACAAATAGACCTAAAGCCTCTAAATAGGACTGAAACTGGAAGACTGGTTTCGGTCCACAATTTGTGAGGTAAGGAAATTTCTCTCTTTAATCTGTGTTGATATGACAATAATGAACTCTTGACATCCTAATTCCCTTAGATGTGTATAAAACCTTACCTGGAGCATTGACTTAGGATGAGGTAGTTCCTCTCCTTGATAGATTTTAATATAAGCCTGAAAATGAATGCAATTAAATACATTAATTGATGGGATCAAAGAAGCCCGTTGGACAATATTACATATTACTATTACTTTTAATAATGCAGATAATTAAATTCATTGAACAGTCGGGAAGAAAAACAATGGTAAAAGTAAAGGTTTTCCCTGACATTAAGTCCAGTCGTGTCTGACTCTAGAGCAGGGGTCCTCAAACGTTTTAAACAGAGGGCCAGGTTACAGTCCCTCAAACTATTGGAGGGCCAAATTATAATTTGAAAAAAACATGAATGAATTCCCATGCACACTGCACATATCTTGTGCAAAAAACCCACTTAAAAACAATACAATAATTAAAATGAAGAACAATTTTAGCAAGTATAAACTTATTAGTATTTCAATGGGGAGTGTGGGCCTGCTTTTGGCTTAGATAGGATTGTTGTTGTTATTGTTGTTGTGTGCTTTCAAATCGTTTCAGACTTTGGTTGAGCAAGGGCCGGATAAATGATCTTGGAGGGCCGTATCTGACCCCCGGGCCTTAGTTTAAGGACCCCTGCTCTAGAGGGTTGGTGCTCATCTCCATTTCTGAGCCGAAGAGCCGGCATTGTCCAGCATTGCATGGAGCGTCATTACCTTCCCACCAGAGTGAGTAAACCTATTGATCTACTCATATTTGCATGTCTAATAACTGCTAGGCTGGCAGAAACTGGGGCTGACTGCGGGAGCTCACCCTGCTACCTGGATTTGAACTGGTGACCTTTCGATCAGCAAGTTCAGCAGCTCAGCAGTTTAACCCACTGCACCACTGGGGGCTCCATGGTAAATCTAGAGAAATGCCTTCGTATTCATTAATATCTAATTCCCATATACAAATCAGACAGATCCTCTGCTGTACAATATTGCCTACTTTGTGTGTTTATCTCCAATAAAATGCCATCTTTATGGGTGAAGCCCTGCAACCATCACAGCAAAAACAGGCCATTAAGAGTTCAAGGGCAGCAACCCAAGAGCTCAGAATTTTTCTGACAACAGCTGGAAATGATTCACATCATAAAGGAGGACATCAAAATTGGTGTATGTGTGTATTGTATGCCTGCAAGTCATTTCCAACTTACTGCAATCTTAACGAGAACATATCATGAGGTTTTCTTAATTATTATTATTATTATTATTATTATTCATGGTGTACTAATCTTGTTGTGTTTCAAATATTAATATTAATATTAATAATATTTATTTATACCCCGCCACCATCTCCCCAAAGGGACTCTGAGAGGCTCGCAAAGGCACTTCAAGTGCTATACATAACCATATAAAACAGCAACATAATTATAAAAACAACAACCACATGAGGATAGAAGTCAAAATGTCTTATAATAAAACCACTCTATTTTAAAATATTGATGAAAGATTATATTTGACTTACCTTAAAATATTGCACAAGATCCCTACAGGTCACCTTCGAGCCACTGATTTCTTTTTCCACCAGATTTTCAGGAGAAAGCAGCAATGGAACCAAATTCCGAAGCTCTCTCTTAAAGTCATCATCAATGTCTAATAGAATTAGTCAGACAAAAGGAGTATGAAGTTGGCTGCAGCTGACATGAAGCTCTTTCCCTTCGGGATCAGGAGCAGCTTAACATTATTTGAAATATCCTAATTCAACAAACTGGACATCAAAAAATTAAAAAGCTTAGCTAAGGCTGTGGATTATACTTATTTTTAAACAAAAGACTGTTAAGCATTTACTAAGAGGGCACCCAGCAACAGAAGCCCCTACGCTTTCAATCTAAACAGTACTCTTGAGTTGGAAGACATGCATCAATAGGAGCATAGTGTCTAGATCTAAGGAAGTAATGCTACCCCTCTATTCTGCTTTGGTTAGACCACATCTGGAATATTGTGTCCAATTCTGGGCACCACAATTCAAGAGAGATATTGACAAGCTGGAATGTGTCCAGAGGAGGGCGACTAAAATGATCAAGGGTCTGGAGAACAAGCCCTATGAGGAGCGGCTTAGGGAACTGGGCATGTTTAGCCTGAAGAAGAGAAGGCTGAGAGGAGATATGACAGCCATGTATAAATATGTGAGAGGAAACCACAGGGAGGAGGGAGCAAGCTTGTTTTCTGCTTCCTTGGAGACTAGGACGCGGAACAATGGCTTCAAACTACAAGAGAGGAGATTCCATCTGAACATTAGGAAGAACTTCCTGACTGTGAGAGCCGTTCAGCAGTGGAACTCTCTGCCCCGAAGTGTGGTGGAGGTATGACCTCATGGCTTCTTGGTAGGGCCAAGCTTAAATTAAGTGATGTTTTCTTGAAGTCTCCAGAGCAGACAACATTGCCATAGAATAAAGTGCCTATATTAGCTCTCATGTTGATGAATCTAGTCTCCTATGTTTGCCTACATTTCTGTAAGAGTTTTGCCTTGGAAAGCTACTGTTTTCATTCTTATGGATTTATGCCTATGATCTTGATTTCCTGGATTTCATGTACATTGCCTCTGTGGACTACTGAACTTTGTATATATATACTACTGCTATTTCATAGCATTTTTTCTACTACTTTTGGGGTTTTACCTTTTATCCCCTTTGTACATGCTTTTCTAAATGAACTGATACTGGATTCTGGTGTGGTGCTGGATGAAAAGGGGTGATCTCAAGGCTAGAGTGCAACACGAAGGTTCTGCTGAAGTCCCATTCAGCAGCTTGATCGAGTCTAAGTTGATGTTTTTATATGTGCATGTGTTTTATTTTATTATATTTTATGTTGTGTTCACTTTTATGTTTGTTTTAGGCACTTTGTGCAGTCTGTAAGCCACCCCGAATCCCTTCAGGGAGATGGTGGCAGGATATAAAAAATAATAATTTATATATTTTTTATTTATTTCTTATCCAAAGCATTGCATAAATTAGTATGAAACTGAAAAAAAATAGGTTTGCAGGCGGCTAAATATCTTTTGACCAAAAATGGGCAATGGCATTGTCTGTACAGAGGAGGAATTGTAGAAGGCTACAAACAATGCCGTTGCCCATTTTTGGTCAAAAGATATTTAGCCGCCTGCACACCTTCTATTTTTATCAGTTTCATACTAATTTATGCAATGCTTTTGATACGAAATAAATACAATGGACAAAGCATACAGATGCAGAGTTGTCTGTTCTGCTCCACTATCACACAAGGTATAATCATCATCATCATCATCATCATCATCATCATCATTTTCTAACAAAGTATTTCACACCCAAAAGTGGTGCTTTATACAATTCTAATACAGATAGTTTTTCAAAACAAGAGTCTGGTTTAGAAATTAAGAGGAAACCATGGTTCCTGATCCTCATATTCTGAAAGTGGACAACACAGTATTCACATTCAAAATATGAGGATCAGACCAAGGCAGCTATGGTATTATGAGAATGATAGTTCAAAAAAGTAACTTTCCCAAGGTCTGTATTCACAAAACAAGGTTGTGACATTCTATTCTGCTCAAACTAAACTAAATGATAGTCATTTTCAAACTAAACTAACAAACTGGAAGACAGAAAGTGTCTATTATATTGCTAGCTTCATTACAAACACTAATTTCATTCTACGTAGTCAATAGCACAAAAAATCAGTATGAAATCCCCTTCACTGTAATCCTACCACAAGCAGTAGACTAGGACGTGCAAACAAAGGAAACTGAATATCCTATGGTTCACCTACAATAAGCCTCTCAATGCTTCTCATCATCTGTACTCAACATTAGAAATATGTACACTTAAATCTACGTAACTCTCTGCCTTCAGCACTCACATCTTGACATAGATTCTCAGCAGTGATTTATAAAAACCAGTAATATAAACAGAAAAGTCCTACCGTTTAGCCTCCCGTCAAAGTTTGGGTTAGTTGCAACTTTAAGACCAGGATGTGGCAACAGGAAACAGCCAAGATTACTGAAACATGAATGAATATGCTTCCTTACGTTCTGGAGCTCTTCGTGCTGATGCAGTTTTACCTAGAAGCAAAATGGGCTTTTCAGGAAAATCTAGGAATTCTTTTGGTACTACAGTTTTGTATGATTTTGCTACACAGAATGCTAAAGCAGACCTAATCCAAAAAAGTACTCTTATATACTCTATAGCTCAGCTCTCATGGAATAAAGCTTTAGGAATTGTCTTAATGGTTCTTTTAGAAGGTTGGAAAGCAGGTATGTTACTGCAAACTAGATCTTACCTGCAACCGCTTTTCTAGAAACTGTTGTCCTCCTTCCAAGCCATATGGATGTTCATAAGGATAGCTCCAATCTCTAATTAAGAACATAAGTGTCTATATAGAGAACACAGTAGGAACAGTTAATCATAATTCTAGCAACATGAATGCATGCTTAAATGTTTCTAAGGGCTAAGTGCCTGTTAACACCAACGGTTCAACACATAGACTCTATAATCAAAATATAAGTGGCTTGAAAATACCATTACTTAGCCTCAGAAGTAGCCTGCACTAGCATACTATAACATCTACATAGACAAGTATACCTATTGTTTAGTTTCGCAAATCCAAAGAAACATTACTAGGCTGGTATTAGCCCAATATTTTTCAAACATTGTTCTGGGGCCACCAGAGGCCCTCTGCTATTGGATCATGTTTTCTGACTTGCCTGGCCCACAGCTTTTTGGTTAAACTGATGTCAACAGCAAGAGCTCCCTGAACATACAATAGCCACACATGAGGATGGATTAGAAAGCAAGGCAGCTGGATGCTAAGTGAAATATGAGAAAAGAAGACCTGAAGGAACAAGGAGAAAAAAATGGAGGGGGGGGGGAGGGCAGAGATTGAGAGAAAGAAGAAGAAATGGGCTGTCTTTTATGCCTTCTGGCCACATCAGATCCATCTCCTCCTGAAGATGAGAAGTATCACCTGACAGTGAACAGCAGCACTAGAATTGGAGAAGCAGGAAGAAGGTAGATCAGAGGCCCCTTCTACACTGCCATATAAAATCCAGATTATCTGCTTCGAACATGATTATATGGCAGTGAAGACTCATATAATCTGGTTCAAAGTACATAATGTGGATTATGGTAAAACAGCAAAACATCTGGGTGTCCCCTGGGCAACGTCCTTGAAGACAGCCAATTCTCTTACACCAGAAACGACTTGCAGTTTCTCAAGTCGCTCCTGACATGGAAAAAAATTGCTTTGATAATCTAGATTCTATGGCAGTGTAGAAGGGGCCTGAGTGAATGTGTAAGGGGGCATCTCTGTGAAAAAACGGCCCTTATGATGGTTTCAAGGAAACCACAAAAATAATTTATCATTATGATAACGACAACGAAGACAAGACGAGAATAAAGAAGAATAGTTTTTTAAAGGAGGAAACGAATGCAAAAGCAGCAACAGGGAGAAAAAAAACCTAACAAATTTGGATGCAGGATATAAATTAAATGTGAAAAGGGAAAAGGTGGCACTACTTTGAAGAAGAAGGTGGGAAAGAATATAAAACAAAGTCTGCCTAAAATACCACCTGTACAGTCTGACCTTCATATTGACTAGGGCCCCTTCTACACTGCCATATAACCCAGATTTTCAAAACAGATAATCCACATGATCTGCTCTGCACTGGATTATATGAGTTTACACTGCCATATAATCCAGTTCAATGCAGATAACCTGGATTTCATATGGCAGTGTAGAAGGGGCCTGGGATTAGGAATTCAGGGCCCATGCAAAAGTGGGAATATTGTAACAAACATGAGAAGACTAGGAATCTCTAGATCCTCCAGGACAATTCTATTGTCAACTTCCTCTAGACATTGACCACAGAGCTGCAATGTAGGCCCTACAAATACCTAGAAAAGGTTTCTCAGTTGGAATCTCGAGATAAGTAAGGCATGGGCAAACTTTGGCCCTCCAGTTGTTTTGGACTGTTAGGAATTGTGGGAGTTGAAGTCCAAAACATCTCGAGAGCCAAAGTTTGCCCATGCCTTCTCTAGATCCTCCAGCATGACGCTATGGACAATTTCCAGTAGATGCTGAGATTCCAAGACAGAACGTATTTATCAAATCTGTGAATAATCAAATCTGCAAAAGTGAAACCTTCAAATGTGGAGGGCCAACTGTATGTAATGTAAAGAAAGCTGAACTATGGAAATTCCTGCTTTAATAAAAATGGCCGTATTCAAAAATTCAGCAGGGCAGGATTAGGATTAAATAGAAAATGCTACCTGTAACTGCCAGATATTTATGACTGATTTTGCTTCCGTATTTTACCATTTGTGACTGGCTCAGCCCTGCACTGCCTTCTATGGCTGGTAGGTCTTGGAAATTTTGCATTCTCACAACTAGGTTCTGAGAATACAATGTTTGTGGACCTCAACAATTGCTATTTAGATTTCTATCAAGTGCCCGGCAGAAGAGTTCACTGCTTTCACCTACCCAGCCCCTCAATTACTTTTCTGTGATAATTAAAGAAAACGAAACTGTCCTTCCTCCATGGGTAGCTCAGAAATAAAGAAACCTAACGAAGTCAGGATCTAATTCTCTTCTGCCAGCCCACTTACTCACCTAAAGCAACGGTTCTCAACCTGTGGGTCTCCAGATGTTTTGGCCTTTAACTCCCATAAATCCTAACAGCTGGTAAACTGGCTGGGATTTCTGGGAGTTGTAGGCAAAGACACCTGGGGACCAACAGATTGAGAACCACTAAAGGAACTCCTACTGCTGTTCAAGCAGGCTTAACTTTTCACAGCACATGAATGCTGTGAAAGAAATCTTGATGACAAAGAAATTAACAATCCTCAGATGCAAATACTGTACAACTATATAGCTCTCTTACATGCTGGGCAGAAGTGGACACATACTATGGTTAATATTTACCAGCTTCTACAGTCATGTATGAAACTATCCTAAGATAAACATACATGCAATAGGTAGTAATTGTGGCAATAATAATCATGCTATTACCTGAAATGGCTTTTGGTAAATTTCTTCCATAGCTAGCCTTCCATATTCTGTAAATAGCTATAAAATGAAACTATTAAGAATGCATATAGAGAGTACAGAAACAAAAAGCATTGCAATATACGTGTTACAACCTGAGATACTGAAATTGTTCAATATGGTATTTTAAGCCTTTGTTTATAAAGTTAGGAAGTTAGACTGAAAGGGTTTACAAAAACCTGATATTCTGATCTATAAATAAGGTCTGCAGGACATTTTTTTCCTTCTACATCCAGCAGCTTAGGATGCTCAATAGTACTACTGTACAGGAAGAGCCAATCTAGTTCTCCTGGCCCAATCATGAAATGATTGCTGTTCAAAACAATCCCAATCAACATTGCTTCTTTGTAAGACAAAAAAAGAAAGATCTTTAATTGGCTTTTGGAATATGAATCTTGAATTTTGAAGATGAAAACTAGAAATCTACCTTAAATATGTTGTCAAAGGCTTTCATGACTGAATCACTGGGTTGTTGTGAGTTTTCTCAGCTGTATAGCCATGTTCCACAAGCATTCTCTCCTGACGTTTTGCCCACATCTATGGCAGGCATCCTCAGAAGTTATGAGGTTAGTTGGACACTAGGCAAGTGGGGTTTATATATCTGTGGAATATACAGGGTGGGAGAAAGAACTCTTGTCTGTTTGGGGTAAGTGTGAATGCTGCAACTGATCACGTTGATTAGCATTGAACAGTTTTCAACACTAAAATCAGGACAGTAAAGAAAGAGTAACACTCAAAACCAGGGGAATTCCACAGAAGAAACAATCAGGGCCAGTTAATTACCTCCAAACAAATGATTCCCCCAGACAGGAGGCAACTAAGCCTTGTAGCGGCAAGGCTATTCAACGCTAATCAAGGTGATCATTTTCAGAATTCACACTTGCCTCAAACAGAGAAGAGTTCTTTTACCGCCCTTGTCATTCCGAAGATATATAAACCCCACTTGCCTAGTTTCCAACAGACCTCACAACCTCTGAGGATACCTGCCATAGATGTGGGCAAAACATCAGGAGAGAATGCTTTTGGAACATGGCCATATAGCCTGAAAAACTCACAGCAACCCATTACCTTAAACAGCTTGTACTTTAAGAAGCTATTGCAACTGTGCTCTAATATGAACACTGCTACTAGCTACTCTCTTAAGAGTAAACGAAATGAGATGATTACTTAAATAAAGCATCCTCACTCCACTGCCATCTAGCTATTTAGACCTCCAACTCCCAGCAGCCCTAGCCAATTTGTTCAATGGTCAGGAATTCTGGCAGTTGGAGGCTCAAACAGCTGGCGGGCCAGAGTTTGGGGATGCCTAGCTTAAACAGGCTAAGTTCCTGAACAATTCTGTGTCAGAGACCTCTGTCCGTGCCATTTCATTGCTAATTGACTGTCATTTCAGAAAGCACCTGAAGAAGCATTTTAATAGCTAGACATGCTCTCTTCTAGTGTTTCCATGCTCTTTTTTTAAGCAGCTCTATCACCCTAATATACTTATTTATTTAGACTTTGCAATCCTTCGCTGTGATCCTAATAATTCCCAGTAGGAGACTACATTTAGTAGAGCTCATTCATGCCAAATTTCTACAGTTGCCTAGCTAAAGTATACTAATTTTTGACACAGACTAGGTAGTTCTACAGAACAGGAGAGACTGGGGAAAGCTATATGTAGGCAGGAGGCCTAACTGCAGGATAGAAGCAATAAACTAGAAAGGAGAGGGATTGCTAATAATGGTTATAGGAGACAACATACCATGTAGTTTAAGGGAAACGAATTCTGCCTTCACATTAAAATAGTCGTAAAAGCTACCCATAAAAATAATCTTTAACAGGAGTGTTGAGAATCTGACATTTTATAATCGCAGTTATATACAGTATGCAAAGATTCAAGAATAGGGGGTTATTTAAACATTTAAAGTTAGATTTGATGCAAGGAACAATGGAAATCTCATCCTTGTATCTTCACCACTCCTTACCCTCTTCAAACATCACCACTGTGCAATGTTTCAAGCCCCTTCATTTTTTAATGAGGTGTCAATTTTTAACATATTTGGATCAACCGGATCCCAATTAATGCAAGAGAGTGGAGGCGGAACAGAAATATAGGAAGCTCTCCTATGCAGAATCATATCATAAAGTGAAGCCCAGTTGTCAGTAACTGCTTTCCAGGGTTTTAGACCTAGTTATTCCTGGTATGCCCTTGTGGTTTCAGTGCTAACAAGGCCCAATCATGCTTTAAGTTCCAAACCCAGATGAGACTGGTGAGCCCAGGATGGTAAAAAACTGGCCAATTATAGTGAGAAGCCTCATTAGCATATTTAAGGCAGAATGGGCAATACACACTGCAAATTAAATAATGTTTATTTATACTAATTCGTGTTCACATTTTCTTATTTTGTCATGAGATGATTTTCAATTGCTTTATTAGAGTTAATCTGATCCCAGTATTACTAAAATGGATACTACAGTATTAAACCATGTATAATAGTAGGAAGAAAGATTTGGCTACCAGGATTTTAGTGACCCAGACCTAAACTGCTATCTACATTTTCTACTTACGCATCACCCTACTCCTCTATCACCCTACTTTTAATTGCAGGCCCCTGCCCTTCACAAAGAGCTTTCCAACAATCAGCAACCATCCAGAAAAGAACCCTTGACTGCAAAAGAAAGCATTTGATATCCTTGATTTGATATCCATTTGACACAGATGGCCTTGGAATGTGTAATGAAATATTTAAGTGACAGTAGGAGGCCATCATACATACCTGCAAATGCTGAAGATCATCTTCTTGGATGTTTTGTGATAAATTGTATACCTGAAAAAAATATTACGTTTTAACATTTTTGCAATATGGATTTTGTATGTATATGTTAAAAATACTTCTGGCCAGGCAGCTTTCAATCACTAACTATCATACAAAGATTAGGTTAATATATCCTAAACCAGTGGTTCTCAACCTGTTGTTTTGGCCTTCAACTCCCAGAAATCCTAATAGCTGGTAAACTAGCTGGGATTTCTGGGAGTTGTAGGTCAAAACACCTGAGGACCCACAGGTAGAGAACCACTGTCCTAAACCATAGCTAGAACACTGGTGAAATACCAGACAGAACTTCAGGAAGAAAGCAAGTCAAATACATTCTATTACACTCTTGTATGAGCTAAAACTGAAAGAAAACACATTATACCAATACAACTACAGCAAAACTAAACTGGAGAAGTGAGATCCCATCCTTTCTTCAAATATGGGCAGAATTGGGCTCAGTCTAAATCAGACTAACTACCCAAATGCAAACAAACAAACAAACAAAACCAAAAAACACACAGACAAAAATGCATCCACAATCTGATACAAGTATAATGTATATAATTAAAGTTACATTCTGATAATACATTTTTAGTCAAAAATCACATTTATCCATCTTTTGGCCATAGTGAAGAAGCTAAAAATTTTCACAGTAAGGCACTAAATAGCAAGAGTGTAAACAACAATAAATCCACAAAATGTAGGCATGAATATTAAAATAGGAGGTTCTAAAGTTACCAAACGCTAAGATGTCCTTTTCAAAGACATACAATATTGGATCTGCCCTTGCAGGCCTGACAAGCCTCATGTGACGCCATGCATTACTTAGGCAAGGAATATTTAGAGGTGGTTTGCTATTGCAGTTCTCTGAAATACAGCCCACAGGACCTGTTATCTCTCAGCAGTTTTCCATATAAGAACTAACCAGATCTGACCCTGCTTAGCTTCCATGATCATACAGACTCTGAATATTTAGGTCCTCTGAATTTATTCGCTTTGCCTCAAATTATTTCAGAAGAATAACTCCCTGTTACCTTACAGGAGAAAAAGACATGTTGTTCCTGAACATTTTCATCTGTTTCTGGAAGTATCAGACATTTCTAAAATTGGCTTACATCAATGAACTATTAAATAATAGCATCTTTATATTATACAGTCCTGAATATTAAAGATTTCAAGGGAGTAAATAGTAAAAGAAGTAATTTTCACACTGTGGATTTTGTGAAGAGTGGATATTCCATTCTAAAAGGGAAAACCCAATCCAACCTTCAATGTGTGATTTTCTTATAAGGAAGGGCAATATGTCTCCTGTACTACAGGAAAAACAACAACGAAGTACACGGTGAGGCAGCATAACTTCCTTTTTTCAAAACTTAATAAAACCCATGGTATGAATCAGAAAGTTTTATTCTTTTTTATAATGTAGGCGCATGCCTAAAGTTTTGTTGTATGTAGTGTTGAAGATCAAATTAGGTAGGTCATGTCCTCCATTCTCCATACACCAAGTAAACCGATTTCTGGCGTTTGTCATGACTCTTGCCAGTATAGCAGGCGTTATGTTGGCAATTTCTTCCTGGATGTTGGTCTTCAAATCTTGTAGGGTCCTTGGACGGTTCACATAAACACAGGATTTCAAAAAACCCCATAGAAAAAAATCACAAGGGGCCAAATCTGGAGAGCGGGCTGGCCACTCCAAATCTGCTCAAAAAGTAGGCCTCAACGGCAAAAGCATGCTCCTCACTGTTCCAACGCATGATGTCGACTGAACTGTGTCAGGACAAAACTTTATACCCCCGCCTCTCGAACGAGACCACTAGCACTCCGCTACGTCTTCAACCGACTGAATGGAGCGCATTTTTAAAAAGGAAGTTATGTGTGTGTGTATACTAATGGAAGATAACATGTTTGCTGTCTAAAGGTGTTTACAACACAACATATTCTATCCTCTATGTATCTTCCAATGAATGGTGCTGCTTTCGCTTATGCCCCGGTCCCTCATTTTTACCCTCACAATCTTGTGAAGTAGGTTAGGTTGACAGGTAATCTGAGGATAATTAGAGGTTCAAACCTACATCCCTCCATTTTTAATCAAAATCATGATGGTTTTGGCTTTTAAGATCATACCTCAGATGAGGCTTATGAGGAAAGCTCATTGTAGTGCCCTGCGGTATTACATTTTCGCTGCTAAACACAAACCATGCAAATCACTTTGTTTTTCCAATTCAATTTCCAAACATGCATTTGGAAGTAGACTTCTGAGAATATTTAAAAGCTGTCGCCACTTAGCGCAGTGAGCCTCACCTGAACTGAACTTGTCATGGTGCTCAGAGCAAAAACCGTTGCACAGTCTTTGATAGTGGATTGGCTATCAAAGGCACCTTGGGTATCCATTAGTAGTACAGCAACCTGGATAATTGTGAGAGTTGTCAAAATGAGAAGGGAGAGAACAGAATGAGTAAATAGGTATCATTTTCACCTCGAGGCTGAGTATTTTCAGCCTTATCATAACATTGTTTTCTATTAAGTGGCATTGATTAGTACAACACATATGTTCATGTTGCTATGCGGATTTACCTCTGTTGGCAACTTACAGGAAATTTTAACAATCAACCTAGCAACCCAACCAATATTCTCATTCAGCCTTAAGTGTTATCACAACCCACAGCAATAAAGTAGAAGCTATCTTTCAATTCATTGTTTATTTAAAGCAATTCTCAATGTCTTCTCAGCCCATCAAGGCTCCTGTGATAATGTAAAACAGATTTATTTATTTACTTACTTTATTTATTTATACCCCACCCTTTTCTACCCCGAAGGGGATTCAAGGCAGCTTAAATAGAGGCAATTATTCCATGCCTTAAAAAACACATACAATTCCAAAAAATTAAAATTAAATTAGAGTGAAATTAGAAACATATTAAACATTTAAAAACATTAAATTCCATATTAAAATCACGCCGTACATAGTCCAAACTGTTCCATAGTCATTCCATATATTCCAGATCTATTAAATGCATTGAACTGTTCTCCAAAGACCCGATCCCATGGCCAAGTTTTTATTTTTCTCTTGAAGGCTAGGAGGGAGGCAGCTGATTTAATGTCACTGGGGAGAAAGTTCCATAGCCAAAGGGCCACCACTGACAAAGCCCTGTCTTTCATTCCCACCAGTCGCCAGGAGGCAGGACTGAGAGAAGGGCTTCCCTGGATGATCTTAATTTCCAAAATGGTTCATAGGGGGAGATATGTTTGGACAAGTAAAGTGGGCCAGAACCATTTAGGGCCAGCACTTTGAATTGGGCTTGGTAGAAGACTGGCAGCCAGAGGAAATGGCGTAACGAGGGGAGGGGGGGTTGTATGTTCCCTGTACACCACTCCAGTAAACAATCTGGCTGCCGCCCGTTGGGCCATTTGGAGCTTCCGAACAGTCTTCAAAGGCAACCCTACGTACAGCACATTGCAGTAATCTATTTGCGATGTAACCAGAGCGTGGACCACAGTGGCCAAGTCTGACTTCCCAAGGTATGAGCGCAACTGGCACACAAGTTTTAATTGTGGGGTTCCAGGCTCAGTGATGAGTTCAGGAGAACTCCCAAGCTGCGAACCTGTGTTTTCAGGGGGAGTGTAACCCCACCCATCACAGGCTGTAACCCTATCCCCTGTTCGGCTTGCGACTAACCAGGAGTACCTCTGTCTTGTCTAGATTCAATTTCAATTTATTCACCTTCATCCAGACCATCACAGCTGCCAAGCACTGGCTCAGTTCCTGAACAGCCCCCTTAAAAGCAGGTGGAAAGGAGTACCAGAGTTGGGTGTTATCAGCATACATATGACATTGAACACCAAAACTCCGGATGATCTCTCCCAATGGCTTCATGTAGATGTTAAACAACATGGGGGACAGTATGGACCACACAAGACAATGGCTGAGAGCCGAACATGTGTCCCCAACAACACCTTCTGGAAATGGTCCTCCAGGAAAGACCGGAGCCACCGTAAAAACTACCTCCAAGAACCATTCCTGCAAGGCATCCCAGAAGGATACCGGGATCTACAGTATTGAAGGCCACTAAGAAGTCCAGCAGCACCAACAGGGACACACACCCCCTGTCCAGTTCCCAGAGTAAATTATCCACTAAGGCAATCAAGGCTGTTTCAGTTCTGTGTCCTGGACTAAAGCCAGACTCTTCTGGATCAAGATAATGTGTCTTCCAAGAACACCTGGAGTTGCGAGGCCCCCACATGTTCCATGACTTTGCCCAAGAAAGGGAGATTGGAAACTGGCTGAAAGTTGTTCAATTGGGTAGGGTCTAGTGATGTTTTTTTCAACAGCGGTTTTATAACAGCTTCTTTTAACTAACAAGTCATACCAAAAAACTGCCAGGTCATCAAATGCTAATCAAGGTGGCCAATGAAACATTCACAGCTAGCTCCAACAGAGAAGAGTTCTTTCTCCCACCCTGGACATTCTACAGATATATAAACTCAATTTTCCTAGTTCCAACAGACTTCAAAATCTCTGAAGATACTTGCCATAGATGCAGGTGAAATGTTAGGAGAGAATGCTTCTAGCCCAAAAAACCTACAACAACCCAACTTCTGTTAAGCTGGCTGGAATCTTGCCCTCCTGTAAGGAGGCATTAACCACCACCTTCACCCACCTACCAGATAAAAACATTTGAAACATTTAAAACAAAAAGATAAGACATAAAAGCATTATTTGTGTGCTTCTTAAAAGGTTTTTAAAAGCACACCAAAGCTCCGGTATTTTAAGGACCAGCGGTTATGTAAAACTAAGACCTGGTTGCCTCTCTAGAATGCTCAAGAGGAATAAAGACAGACTAATTTCCTTTGGGAAAATGTTCCACAGCTGGGATGTTGCTATAGAAAAAGCCCTGTCATGTGTCAACAATTCAGCCTCTTGGGAAAGAGAAGCATGCAACCTGATCCATCACTGCATGTGTATGATGTATCAATGGGACAACTTAGGAGAGCACACATTTGTACAGAACACTGAATATTTGCTGGAACAAAGGCATATTGGCTCCATTTTTTTAAAAAAATGTAAGTTTAAGAACTTAACACTTTTTGGCCAAAATCAGATTCAATATTAACCACGGAAGCAGGAGGGTGGGGGGTGATAGTGGCTAGGCCAGAGACTGTCTTCTGGTCAAGTGCTCAAGAGCTGCACATTTATTTGAGGGTTCCGGGTCTTTTCGGTTTCTATTTTTTAACCTTTTTAATATTTATATTGTTGGGTTTATTAAACCCCACAATAAATGAGCTAAATATCATACCTAGGAGGAAGGGCAGAAATAGTCTATATACTTAAATAACTTCAGGAGAAAACAAGCAGAGAAAAAGAAAAACCTAGCCTTGTTGGAAAAGAAAGGGGAAGAGGAAGAAAGACATTGGAAGTGAAGGAAAGAAATAAACAAGCTTACTTCTAAGTAAATATGCACAAGATTTCTGCTGTTATTCATTACAGGAAGAAATAAGGAGTAGGAGGAATAAGAAGGAGGAGAGAGAAGGGGTTGGCAGAGGACTGATAGAGTAAGGCCTGGGAGGAGGAAAGGATGTGGGGAAGAGGGAATCCCTTTGGAAAGCAGCAGCTATCTTTTGAATATTTTTGCTGGCAGAAGCAGAAGTTGCTATTATTTTTTTTAAATCACTTATTACTGAAGGGAAGAACGAAGGTGTGCTAAAGTTACAAAACAAGCTAATAGATTCCAAAGGTCAAAGAGTGGATGTTGTGTTAGCTACTGAATGGCTTACCTTTGTCCCATCAGGCTTGGGAATTATGAACACCTCACTCCAAACCTGAATGCCAGTTGTTTCTCTCTCACAGCCTCCTCTCCATGTAAACCCAGTCAATGGCTCATGGGTTCCACCTATCCAAGCTGAAGATTCCTAAAACAAGAGTCACATATTTAGCCAGGAAGCTAAATGGAATTATACTCAATTATTGACTAATATGAAAAATACTTTAACCCTAAAATTGAAACATCGATTTTAAAGAACTTTCAGTGTTAGTTAAAAGTAATTACAAACGTCTCCGAATTTTTGTTCTGCTTATAACCAGTCACGTGTGGTTACAAAAGTAAATTTAGGAATAGCCTCATTTATCTTTATAACGAAGAGAAAAAACCTTATAAAGGTGAAAGTACAAAATTTAAGTAAATTATCTACATTATTTCATCTAATATAAGTATTCTGAACCATTATTTACAGAGTCACTAAAAATGTTAGGGCTTTTTACATTGTTCATGGAAATTAGATCTCTCACTAGGAAATAGGCAGATACAGAATGCTTTAGTGTATATCCCTGATGAAATTACTATCTATACCAGTGTTTCCAAACCTGTGGTAGGTGGACTACCAGTGGGCTGCAAGAATGAAAATATGGCCCACGGCTTCATCATTACTACACCGTTGCCTTGAAACCACACAGCAACAAGAGCGACTAATCTCGCAAAACCCTCTTATAGTGCCGAGGCAACGGAGAGGAAGTGGATAGGCTGACTACCCACAAAAGATTACTACTACCACATCAGCTTTAGATTATTAAATATGGTTTTCTGTGGGCGAGCAGATGGTGACTACTGGATGGCATATGTTCTGTATCTACAGCTGATGTGGTCTAGCATGCCTCAGTGTTGCCCTCAGTATGAGAGAAGCCTCAGTATGACAAAGCTTAAGTGTTAGTTTGCCTCAGTATGAGAATACCTCAGTATTAGTTGCCCTCAGTATGAAGAGGCTTCAGTATGAGGTAAACCTCAGTGTTAGTAGGCCTCAGTATGAGGTAGGCTTCAGAGTTAGTAGGCCTCAGTGTGTGAGAGGCCTGGTATGCGAAGGCTTTGGTGACAGAAGCCCCAAGTTGAAGGCCTCTTGTGTAAAAAGCTACTGTGTGAAGCTTCTGTGTAAGTTCAGTGTGAGAGGAAGCTCAGTGAGGGTGAAGCTGTTTATCTGCATGAGAAAGAAGCCCAGCATGGAAGCAAAGAAGGAAGTATAAAGAACTTTGAGTTATGGAAACCTTTTTCTTGTAAATAGTGGAACCATACTCTTTTGCTATAAAGAAGAGATATAACATTGGTCTGTGTATTTTTTGTTCTTTTTATCAATTTTGGCTACTGGTGTTGGGTCACGCTGCTGCTAATAAGTTACTCTGCTGTACATTTACGAGGAGGTCTTGTTAATAAGCCCACTAACCCAACACTATCAACATACAGCTCAGAACTTCTGATGAAGTAAACCAGGAATCACTCTTGAGATAAACCTCCACTTTCATCTACTGCAACCCTCATTCCATGTTCTATCTAATAAATCCTATTCGATGCTAAGGAATAATAGGGAAGATTTGATGGGTATAAACAAATAACTGTTCACACAAGTGGGCATGCTTTTCACTAGGTCAGAGCCACTACTGGCTACAACTCTTTCTGCAGGTCATTTCTAAAGAGAAAATTAAATCTTATATTTCCTGAATTTGGTCATGAAGTGTAATAGCAAAGGTTAGCCAATTCTCTCATTTTGAAAAATTCTAGATTTTTCATTATTTATTTATTTATTTAAAATTTTGGAACACGTAAATCCTAAATGGGAAACACTTATGTGATTTTTTAGTAATACTGTGCTCTACGTGACTCACCTTATTGTACATATACCTAAGCATGAAGTCCAAAAGAAAAGATTTGCCTTTGCGAAATGCACCAGCTACAGAAACTACTACTATATTGAGATCTCTAATGTGCTCCTGCAATAAGATTCGCTCCAGGGCTTCTTCATCCAAGTCAAATTTATGATCATCTTCATGAGCAAGAACAATCTGTATGGGGCACGGCTTCTCTGGAATCACTTCTTCTTCAGAATCAAAAACAGCATTCTCTTCGGCATCCACATAGGTTTCTCCTAGGAAACAAATTTCAAACATTAGATATACTGTATATCTAAATTCTCTGGAGAGTATTCTGTTTACTTTTACATGAATTAGTGAAATGTAACATAGGGTTCTTATCGTAAATGAAAAATATGGGAGGGCGTCTTAAAACAGTCACATAATCAAATTAGGCTCTTCGTGTCAGTGAAATTCTCTTCTTCCTCCATCTCCTAACAAGCCCTCTACACAGTTTCATAAGACGAGAAAGCATTCATGTCTTTTTCAGCAAGTGAACCCATGGGCATGTTAGTTCTACTGAAAGACTGGGTAAATGACACAGAATGCCTACTGGCTTGGTTATTAATATTAGCCAAACTGTCTCATAGATGTATTTTAACAAACTGCATAAGCAGAGGGTTGCTAAAGAGATTCAAGCGACACTTTTAGCTCACACATAATTGGTGACACACCCTATATATATATATATATATATATATATATATATATATATATATATGGAGAACTTTTCTGTATGCAAACACCAGACATTTCTGCATGCCTTTTTTTGACCAAATTTAGGAGCAGAAGCTTATCTTTCAAGTTTTTCTTCCATCTTTAATACTTGACCACGTATTTTCCAGAAAAGACACACATTCCTACTAGGCACAAATGGCCAGATGTATGTTAAAAAGGTAAGGTAGTCCCCTGACATTAAGTCCAGTCATGTCTGACTCTGGGGTGAGGTGCTCATCTCCATTTCTAAGCCGAAGAGCCAGCGTTGTCCGTAGACACCTCCAAGGTCATGACTGCATGGAGCGCCGTTACCTTCCCGCCGGAGCGGTACCTATTGATCTACTCACATTTGCATGTTTTCGAACTGCTAGGTTGGCAGAAGCTAGGGCTGACAGCGGAAGATCACGCCGCTCCCCGGAATCGAACCTGCGACCTTTCGATCAACACAGCAGTTCAGTGCTTTAACCCACTGCGCCACCGGGGGCTCGTTGCATTTTACTATTCTGTGTCCTCCTACACCTGAGAATATATTACACGCTCTATTCAGTTACATACAATTGATCTTTCTTGCAAAGTAGTGTTAAGGTTACCTGTATTATTATAATAGTGTTCCCAGCTTGTTATCTGCTCAGCAAATCCAAAAAGATGCAACCATCTACTTTGTATATTAGCTAGGGAAGGGAGTGTCTGTTGCATGGAGTATTTTCTTTTAGAATGATATGTTGAGCGAGTGGGCTTATTAACAAAAATACCCTCTTCATAAATATACAGCAGGGTAACTTATTACCAGCAGTGTGACCCAGTACCAGTAGCCCAAATTGAGAAAAAGAACAAAAATACAGAGACCAATGTTATCTCTTCCATAGGAGGCTTTTCCTTATAGCAAAATAATATGGTTGCACTATCTACAAGCACAAGGTTTCCATGACACAAATGAAGGTCAACCTTCACACTGGAGCTTCACACAACAGCCTTCTTATACTGAGGCTTACCTCACACAAAGGCTTCTCTCACAGACTAAGGCCTACTTCACACTGTGATGCCTCCGCACAGACTAAGGCCTACCTCACACTGTGAGGCCTTCTCACAGACTAAGGTCTATCTCACACTGTGAGGCCTTCTCTCAGACTGAGGCTTTTCTCCCACTGAGGCAAACTAACACAGCGGCCTACTAACCTACAGGCACACCTGCTTATATAAAACTGCAGCTTTTGCCGACTCACTGCATCAATTTTACCCTTTAAGTGTCTCACATTTTTGTCTCACATTTTTGTAATTAAAAATACCTAGTTAATATTAATATTAATACCCCTGACATGATACAGTGTTTAAGGCAGGTATTAACATATTTACTGTCCTAGCATCATCTCTAAAAACTACCTAAGAGAAAAACCTTTACGTAAAATTACATATATACATGATCAGATTATTACACATCTTGGCCCTTGTTTCATTTTCTCCAACCTTTAAAAAAAAAAGGAAATAAGTATATTATGCCTACTTGACATTCTGGAAACTAGTGGAGACAAAATCATGTTCTCTGTTTTATTAATATCGGTGTTCTTTTTGTAATCACTTTCTGACTACTCTGTACAAGATATCACACACGATGAATTATATACCAAAGTTACATATAACAAATGTCATGTTCAGATATAATATTGTAACATTCAATCTATAACAGCTGTTAATATTGCCATTTCCCAATTGCTTCAAATTATATGGCATTCTTACATCTCCAAACATGCTATTTGCCTGGAGATCAGTTTAAGCAATAGTCACAGATTGGGTTTCCCTTATCTGAAATGTTTGGCATCAGAAGTCTTTTGGATTTTTGGAGCATTTTGAAAGACCAGGAGTGGCATGCAAGTATATAATGAGAAATCTTGGAGATGGGTCCCAAGTCTAAATGCAAAATTCATTTTTGTTTCACATACACCTAAGACACATAAACCGAATATAATTTTACAGCAGTTTGTGCATAAAACAAAGTTTGTGTACACTGAACCACCAGAAAACCAAGGTGTCGCAATTTCAGCCACCCTATTTTGGAGCATTTCAGAATTCCAGATAAAGGATGCTCCATCTTTTCCTGCTGGATATTTTTGTCGATCTACCAAATCACTTCAGTACCAAAATTAACGAGAAACATCGGTCAACATCATTCATATTTCATCAACCCTGTTGCACTGTTGAACTTTAATTCAGAAACAACTTTAATCTTAGAGGAATCAACCTTGCAGGCAGGATACATGTCAACATTTGTGCCATCAGCTGAAAAATGCAGGTATTGCTTGAACTTCAATTTTCAAAACATGAACTTCAATCAGAATTTTCTACTAAGGAACAACACAGAAAGGCTTTTGTTGTGAAAATGGCTGCTATGACTCTTAAGAGGACCACAATGAGATAATGTTGGATGTGGCACCATTCCAATCATTTGTGCCTCTGCCAAATGTTTACTCAGTCCTTCACCCCACAAAGGAAGTTATTCAGAATACATGATATTGAACTGGAGATCGTTTTGTGTGTACAAGAAAGCTCTCACAAGTGTAAGGAAAGCACTTGACCCTTTCTGCTATATTAGTAGATGTTCGCTGTTTGTTTAATGGCAACCTCAGGAAGTTTCCTTGAACTTAATGAAGCAATCTTTTTTCAACATCGTAAGTAACAGCTAGTATTTGATTGCTTTTGGGATCAGTCAGGGATTTAGTTGTGCAACCTGCATACTATTTACGAACAAATGTAAGTCTGTGGAAACATCAGCCTGCATATACACGCAACCACTTTTCTTCCATCTTTCCCTGGAAATTTTGGAGAACTATTTATGATATATTTTGGAATGAAGGCAATATTGCTGAACACAGCTTAATTATTCCAGTGTGTAGTAAAATGTTTATACAGTGTAACAAGAACTTCCTTATCAGAGAGTAACAATACCTACAGAAAAGTGTGTGTCTGTGCCTTCAAACTGCCTGTAAGCTAATGGCAACCTTATTAATCTCATAAGGTTTTCCTAAATATACAACTCTCCAAATGCTTCTGCTGCACGTCATGATTTTCTACTATTCTAGCAGCCTCCAATAAATCTGCTCCAGAAGGCCCACTTACTATTTCACTGAAAACAGCATTTGGGTCTGTGGGAGAAATTATTTTTATACCACCAACCATAGAGAAGTATAACTCGAATACTTAGAACTACAGCAGAGGCAACATCGGATACAAAATGTAAATGTACGTCTCTTTTGAATTTGAAGATACCAGATTTATCCGCAACGGGGGAATCCTAAACAAGAGTTGGAACCAAATTGAGTCATGATTAATTTAATCCCAACTCAATGGCAAGAAATAGTGTTTTGATGTGTTTGTCAACGGCTTTCATGGACGGAATCACTGGGTTGCTGTGAGTTTTCCGGGCTGTATGGGTATGTTCCAGAAGCATTCTCTCTTGATGTTTTGCCCACATCTATGGCAGGCATCCTCAGAGGGGTCCTCAACCTCTGAAGATGCCTGCCATAGATGTGGGCAAAATGGGTGAACGCTTCTGGAACATGCCCATACAGCTAGGAAAAGTCATAGCAACCCAAATAGTGTTTTGATCTATAATTTTCATAAATCTAGCAAATAGTACAATTATAATTGATTAGAAATTATGAATTTTGTTCTTAAAACAAAAAAAGTTTAGGCATGACAAGTATCTCAGTTTTTCCAAAAGGCTCATTTACTCAGCCATCCAAATACTTAGGCTTTCATCCATGGCACTAAAACCACCTGCATTTCTCTTCTATTTGTTGAAGCTAATCATGGTAGGATGCGACGTTACTTAAGCACAGAGACAGATGTTTCTTCACAGACAAATTATAGGCTTTTTTCTCCTGCTTCACAGAAAAGAACAGATTGTCTGCTTAAGGACATTGGTCTGCCAGAAAAGGCTACTGGTCATTTTTTGTGGGGAAAGAAAAAAGTATTGACAACAAGGCAGGGAAGCAACAGCGCTCAAGGAAAACTGTCTTGCTGTCCAAATAGCTTGGGTGGCCATGACAACAGTTCCCTTAGTTTCAAAATGCTGCTCTTACTGTTGGGTCAGTATATGATAAAACATTAACAGTGTACTGTGCTTTTTCTTGATTTTATAAGATATTTTAATGAATTTCAAATGGCGTTAATCCCATAGATCATTTAATTTTTAAATAGCATTTATAATTATATTTAACTGATATTTTTGTAGTTTTTAATCTGTACTATTTTTCACAAGTTGTGAGCCACCTTGAATCCTATCATTACGAAAAGAATGAATAAAGTATTTTTTTTTCTTACTGACTGTTAGGATAATGATTAGAGTCTGGTAATCCACAGAGCTCAAGGAGGTTTCAGATTAACACATATCTGCAATGCAATTTTTGTGCAGAAGAACTGGACCATATGGTAACCAATCTCTCTCTCTTTCAACCCCCCCCCCCCAAAAAAAAAACCCCCCAAGAAACTTTGGAATAAAGATAGCCGGTCATATCCGCAGGAA